AAGAGTGTGACAAACAGCCTATGGAAGAGACCGTGCTAGAGCAAGTATCCGCACTGCAGGGGAGGAGGCAGAGAAGTCTGGAATGAAGGAGCAAAATTGAGACTGGGGAGAAAAGGCGGGGAGGCTGTTTCAGTGTTTGTTTCTTGCCATCCAACTCTAATGGCAAGAAATTAAATAAATTTTCCCCAAGTCAAATCTGTTTTGCCAGTGAGAGTAATTGGTGATATTCTTGTCTTTATCTTCACCCGTGAGCTCTTTCCACTTTTATTTTCTTCCCCTGATCTGTTGAGGAGGGAGAGGGAGAGGGAGAGAGCGGCTGGGTGGGCGTCTGGCAGCTGGCCAAGGTCAAGCTACCAGACTGTGTTCCCTGTGCTTTATGGCTGTCTTGGAGAACCACTTGGAAATACTTTCTCATGTATCATGTTTTCTTAGAAAGTTTTACTTACTGTGACTGTCTCTCATATTTACTCTGAATCTTTTCTAGAACCATTTGCTCCAGATAACCCAATGTGCACTTTTGGAAAGCAGTAGGACCCAGGTGACCTGTTTTTCAAAGAGCTGTAGTGGTCTGTCATATATTAACTTTACGGTCTTTTAAGGCTGGCTTACAGAGGTGATAGGTGTTAGTAAGGTGACTTACGTGAAAAGTTTCTGAGTGCATAGGAAAGGAAATAAGTTAGGTGTCAGGCTTATGTGGATTTTGGGCGTCCTGACTGGCAGTATGACGTGGATGTGAAAATCCAAGGTGGTTGACTTGTGCTGTACTACTTGCCCTTTGTAATGAAAAGGGAAGATGGCTTTTCAGCACGAGGCAGAAATGATGTTTTATAGGTAGAATTACAGGATTTCCAAGTTAGGCAAAATAAGTGAGCTTTTAATATTGGTGTCGCTCCTGGTAAAAACCTGCTTGCAGAGTTACTGTGATGTTACAGAATGTTTTGCAGTACTTTGCCATTTCGCTTCATAGCTCGGCAGTCACAACAGGATGCCCATTCTTCGTTTTAAAACCTACTCAGTATTAAGAGCGGGTTTTCATTAGACTTTCATCTGTTGTCTTTGAGCTACACTGATGTAGTTAGGATGTATCTTACTCAAGTTATACTTGAATGCCATCTCTCCTTAATTAAAGATATGATAGGACAATTACTTTGTAAAACCACGTTTATTTTTTAAGCAGAAATCAAGAGTGTAGCTCTCCTCCAGCTGGAAAATAGCTGGTTGTGTGCAAGGGTCAGAAGAACGGAGGAGGCTGGACACGTATTGTGGCCATGCTAGCTGTGTTTCCCTGTTGGCCTGTTAGAGGTGGCGGTTGGGTAGGAAGACTTTGGTCTGACCTGGTTTTAGGGAGTTGAGAAATGATGTGCAGTGTTGCTGATCAGCAGAGACCCAAGTTTGTTGTTAGATGCTTGGAAAAATAAAAAATAAATGAGTAGAGTACCCCTGTGGGAGCAGGGTGCTATAAAGGTACGGCCTTTCCAAACTTTCGGATATAGCGCGTTGGTATGTATGGCTGCTGTGTGTCTCGCATGATGGGACACATGAATCCGTGTTGCTCTTCCCTCCAGTGGCTAGAAGCAGGTGGTTGACAGTTTCTCCTGCATTGGAATGGCAGGTGTAGGAATCGTCTGCAGATTTCTTCACTGTTTCTTCCTGGTGCCCTGGGTCAGGAATTAAGCCTTAAGATAATTTGGGAGATTTGTCATTAGGAAAGTAATGGGTTTTGAGTTGTATTTATTTGAAATATATTATATTATATATATTTGTGGAGTCTCCTTCTCTGGAGATATTCAAGACTCGCCTGGACAAGGTCCTGTGCAGCCTGCTGTAGGTGACCCTGCTTTGGCAGGAGGGTTGGACTAGATGACCCACAGAGGGCTCTTCCAACCCCTACCATTCTGTGATTCTGTGAAAGTAGAAAGATTATCTACACAGCTAGGATTACCTTTTTTTCCTGATTGATACAAAAGTCAGCTCTGCAGAAACACGTTTGTTTATTGTACAGATTTTATTTTTTTTCTCCTGTTGATGATTGCAAAAAGCCTGCTTAGCTGTCACATAAAATATACTAAAGTGTCGGATCATTTTTACAGAAAACCTGGGAATAATAATAGATATGACTATTAAATTTGAGAAGATCTTTTTAAATGCATGCTTTTCGGTTTGTAAAATTATACTTAAATTCCATTAAACAATTAATGTGTTGTTTTATTGTAGGAAAAAGATGAAGTTATATTTGACTTGACAACTCGCAATATAAATCCAAAAACTCAGATAAAGCAATCACAAGAAAATGTCTTGACACAGGAATTGGATGTCACCAAAAACTCTGAAGAGGAGCAAGTTCTGAAAAAGCATTGCCAGCAAATGTTGGAAATTCACCAGACTCCTGATTCTCCAAAACACAATTTGAACACAGGCAAAGACGCTTCGAAAGACTTCCAGAATTTTATTGCAGATATGGCTTCGTGGGGCTCACCTGAGATTGTGAGAAAGCAAGATATGAGCGTGGAACTTCAACCGGCGCTTCATCTGACACCCTTTTCGGAAGGTGAAAGCCCAGATTTAGAAATTATGCACACCAGGTCATCTGTGCAAGAAGAGAACTCTGCATTGCTGGGATATTCTAACCTGTATGAAAATAGCAGTGAGGAAGCGGCAGTGGGAGCAGATAGAAAATCTCCAGCTTTCTCTGAAAGCACCTACTCTGTTGATGATGACCAAGACATGGAGAAGATTTTGGTAAGTGATATTTTGTGTCTGATCTCATTCTAATTCTCACTGTCAGATAGTGGAGCAAATTCTGGCCTGTATTAAAACACTGTTTACCACTGCTTCTAATAATTGAAAACAGTCTTTCAAAACCTAAAATTGAGCAATAAGCTGCTTACAGCAGGCTTTGTCTCCTGCATGTGTATACGCTGCTGACGTGGTGTCAGTGCACATATGGGTGTTGCTCTTGTGCTCTCAGAAGATTTGTTGAGAGGACTCTTCAAATCCTGGTGCTCTTCCAGTGATGCTACTGGGAAGTAATTGATAAATTTGTGATAATAACTTCATGTGCAAATAATTAAGCTGAAACCTGTAAAACATTTTTGCTACCATGGTACCTAATTTACTGTAACGGTTCTCCAGTTACTAATATCTATTGTTGAGTGGTAGAAGAGACTTTTCCAAAATTGGAGAATAGAATTTTTTCTTGTTAATGGAAATATTATATATATTTGTGTCTGTATCACTTCACTAGAAGATAAAAGTCTGTACTTCAGAAAATTAATCTTTGGTTGTACATTTTTGTGCCTTGCTCTTGAAGGGCAATTAATTATAAATACATGTCTCTTCCTTAAGAATATTGAAAGGGAATAAAAAAAAAGAGATGGAACAGGTTCCAAAGGGCACCAGTGTTGCATTCATTGTGGTATTTGCTATCTCTAACGCTATGGTCAAGTAGGCATTTGCTAAAATCTGCACTAGTAACAGAGTTGTTATAAATGCAGAAAACTCTACAGCTGGATTCAGAAAGCTAAATTAACATGAAAAATTATTTCTCAGCAGATGAGAGAAGCTGATAATCTAACTTTAACCCCTTCTGATTTACAAGATGATGTGAGATCAAGAGCATCTGCCGTAGATGCGATGAGCGATGGATATGGCAGCAGTAAGTTTAACTTTTTAGATTCCTTTCAGCTTTATAACTTCGATATAAAAATATCATAATGTTCCCTCCCTCTCCTGTTTGCTTTTATTGTAGATATTTTATTTGAAACCTATGTCTTTGTCAGGTCTTTCTTTGTTTAGAAAGACTTGTATATTTGTGCTGGTGAAAGTCTGGTTTTACCTTTACATCTTTATATACTGAAAAGGAGGCATGGCGTTTTAGTGAGTCCTGACGTAACTACAGCGCTTTCTCTGGTGCTAAAGGCGTCTTAGAACCTTTTTACTTGTTTAAGTTAGTTGAGATCTCGGTCAACTCACTTCAGCTGACCCTGTGCTCATACTAGCAGAAGAAATCATGCTTACTTTCCAAGCAGTTATGCCAGTTTCAAGTTCTTTTTCTCTTTATAACACTTGGGGGGGGCTGTCTTCTTTCTTCAGATACCAGCTCAAATTTGGCAGCTAAACTAAAGCAGGAGCTACAGACGTCAGACCACCTAGACGCTGGTTTCGTGGCTTATCTGCGGTACCGTGGAATGTTTCCAGATACTATGGAATCAAAGAGAGAAAACGAAATACTTTCACCACAGCTGAAGGTAAGAAATGATTAATATAAACAGACCAGCAAATTCAAACTGAAACAGTGAAAAAGAAATGCTCATATAAAGTAGTTAGCTGCTACCTTTACACTGTAAACTGTTCTGTAATGGTTTAAACTTGAAGTTGATTATGGTTCTTGAGTCATTTTTGCATCTCTTGTGACAAATTTACTGACGCTTGTCTTGCTTGTACTTGCTGGATTTAAAAAAGTTTTCCTAGGACAGCACTAGTGGTGGTACAAGGACTGATTGATCTGATCCATGGGCTTGTCTTGGAGGCTTTACAGAAAGCCATTTCATAAATAAGCGCAGCTAGCTGACACCGTGCTCCCCTGCCTGTTTTTACCATTCTGATGAGATGGAGAGCTGTGGCAACACCACGGCAAAGTGTGGAGGGATTTCTCAGAGTCAGTTCAAGGAGCGTGAAGAATACACAGAAGTCTGAGCAGTGATTGCTTATTCTCTAGTCAGCAAGGCAAGTTTAAGAAAGTAAATGCCTGGGACTCAGGTTTGGTGCTGCAGCTGAAGGAGCTCTTGGGCGTTCCAGGAATTCCAGCTGGTGAAATTCGGTGCTCCAAATCGTCTGGTGTATGAGGCTGGTGAGAAGTACCTGGATAAGTGCAGTAGGCTGCAGGGAGTTCGAAGACTTGAAGAAACTTGAGTAGTAAGAAACTGGAGGATATATACTTCCTAGAAAGTGGCTGCTGCCTCCTTAAATGTTTAGCAGATTCTTTCAGCTTGCTCAGCAAAAGGAAGGAAGATCTGTGCAATGAAGGAAAGCTGTGCAAGGTGCTAGGGGAGGGTAAGCCTGAATTCAAACTCAAGCTGACTGACGCTAGTAACTCACAAGATGGAGGAGACTGGGCCTTCATCGCTGCTCAAGGCAGAAGGAAAACTCTTCCCCCATCTTCTGAATTGCCAGTTCATAACTGGCATGATGCTCTGTGGTTGGAGAATGAAGAGCACGTTGAGTAACTGACTTGATCCAGGAAAAGCCAACCATGCAAAGCTGAAGCAACCCGCTACTCGCATTAGAACCAGTGCCACTAGAAAAGCATGTAAAGTATTAGTAACTGGAGATTACTTACTGAGAGGTGCTGCAGCACCTGCTTGCTGTCCAGACAATTTCTGTAGAGAAGTTTACTGCCTACCAGGACCTTGTGTTCATGACATTGCTGAAAGGCTGCCAAGCCCAGTGAACGCTACGGATAATTTTCTGCTCCTACTGTTCTATCTAGGGTCTAACAATACTGTAACAGGGCAACTTGGAACCATCAGAAGAGACTACATGTCCCTCAGATCAATGCTAAAAGCATTGGGACCACAGGTGGCATTCTCCTCTATCCTCCCAGTCAGAGGAAGGGGTCCAGCATGGAGGACACGAACAGGTGAATGCCAGGCTATGTAGCTGGTGTTAAGGTATTGGTTCCTATGGTCATGGATGCACCTTAGAGTAGCTGCGTCTGTTCACCTGACCAGGTGGGACAAGAGCATCTTCACCAATAAGCTGGCCAAACCTATAAGCAGAGCTTTAAATTAGATTTAGTGGAAGAAGGGGATGGAGTTTTGAGCAACAGAGAAGAGCCAGGGGCTGCTGATGTATTAGGAACCAACAGGGTAACACCTATGAAATGCCTCACAGAAACTGAGGCTCATTTCTCCAAACATGTGACTCATGGACAGCCCAAGTGAAGTGCCTGCATACCGATGCATATAGCATGGATAACAAACAGGAGGAGTTGGAAGTCACTGGGCAGCTAGAAAGCTAGGATCTAATTGCTATCACGGAAACTTGGGACACATCACAAGGGCTACAAAAATGATCCGAGGGCTGGAGCACCTCTCCTATGAGGACAGGCTGAGAGAGTTGGGCTTGTTCAGCCTGGGGAAGAGAAGGACGCGGGGACGCAGCCTTTCAGTACTTAAAGGGAGCCTACAGGAAAGATGGGGACAATCTTTTTAGTAGAGACAACAGTGACAGGACGAGGGGTAATGGTTTTAACCTAAAACAGGGTAGGTTTAGGCTGGATATAAGGAATAAATTCTTTACAATGAGGGTGGTGAAACACTGGAATGGGTTGCCCAGAGAGGTAGTGGGGGGCCCCATTCCTGGAAACATTCAAGACCAGGTTGGACGGGGCTCTGAGCAACCTGATCTGGTTAGCGGTGTCCCTGCTCGCTGGGGGGGAGTTGGACTAGATGATCTCTAGGGGTCCCTTCCGACTCAAAACTTTCTATGATTCTATGATCACGCAATTGGAATGATGCAATTGATGGCTATAAACTGTTCAGAAGAGACAGGCAAGGAAGGAGAGGCAACAGTGTTAAAAAAATAAAAAATGATTGATAGTACAGAGCTGTCTCTGAAAAACAGAGTCAGGACTGTTAATTCTGGGAGAGTAAGCTTTCAGTTGTTTAAGGAATTTGTGGATGGGACTCCCTGGGAAATTGCCCTTGGGGATAAAGGAGCAGAAGGGAGCTGGCAGCTATTGAAGGACGTCTGTCTTAGAGCACCAGAGCTTTCGATTTCCATGTCTAAGAAATCAGGCAAGGAAGACAGGAGACACGCATGGCTGAGGAAGGACCCCTTGGTCAAACTAAAGTGGAAGAAGGAAATGCGCAGGCAGTGGAACTGGAGATATGTAGCCTGGGAAGAGTAAAGGGACGCTGCCTGGATGTGTAGGGGTGGGATCAGGAAAGCTAAGGCACAGCTGGAGGGGAGTTTAGCAAGGAATGTGAGGAAGAATAGTAAGAAGGGCTTCTACAAGTACATTGGACAGGAAAGGAAGATTCAAGAAATTGTGTGCACACACAAACATGATGAATAAAACAGAACTAATGACAACCAACAAGGCTGAGGTACTCAACAACTCTTTTACCAAGTTTTCACTGGCAATCACTCTTCTCCCATCTGAAGTCCCTGAACCTCCAGACAGGGGCTTGGGGAATGAAGTCTCTCCTATAGTAAGAGAAGATCGTGTACAAGACCACCTGAGGAACCTGGGCATACACAAGTCCTTGAGACCCAAAGAGATGAATCCTGGGGTCCTGAGGGAATTGGCCACCAATCTGAGTGGTGCAGTTGATTCACTTGAGGGAAGGGATGCCATCCAGAGGGACCTGGACAGGCTGGAGGAGGGAGCCCATGTGAACCTCATGAGTGTCAGCATGGCCAAGTGCAAGGTCCTGCATGTGGATTGGCGCAACCCCCAGTATCAATATAGGCTGGGGGATGACAGGATTGAGAGCAGCCCTGAGGAGAAGGACTTGGGGGTGCTGGTTGAAGAGAAGCTCAACATGACCCGGCAGTGTGTGCTCACAGCCCCAAAGGCCAATGGTACCTTGGACTGCATGCCCAGCAGCGTGGGCACAGGGCGAAGGAGGGGATTCTGTCCCTCTGCTCCGCTCTGGTGAGACCCCACCCCCGGGAGTCCTGTGTCCAGCTCTGGAGCCCTCAGCACAGGACAGACCTGGAGCTGTTGGAGCAGGGCCAGTGGAACCCCTCTGGTGTTGGAAAAGGCTGGGAGAGCTGGGGCTGTTCAGCCGGGAGAAGAGAAGGCTGGGGGCAGACCTTAGAGCAGCCTGCCAGTATATAAAAGAAGCTTATAAGAAAGATGGAGAGGGGCTTTTGTGAGGGCCAGTAGCAACAGGAGAAAGAACAACAGTTTTAAACTGAAAGAGGGTAGATTTAGGTTGGACATAAGTAAGAAATTCTTTCCTGTGAGGGTGGTGAGGCACTGGCACAGGCTGCCCAGAGAGGTGGTAGATGCCCCATCCCTGAAAGTGTTCTAAATCAGGTTGGACAAGGCTTTGAGTCACCTGATCTAATGAAAGATGTCCCCATGCCCATAACTGGGGGGTTGGACTAGATGATCTTGAAAGGTTGCTTCCAACCCAAGCCATTCTATGATTCTGTATCTAAAAAATTAATAATTCTCAAAGAGCGTAGTTTCACAGCCTTCATGGAAGAGGTGCATTTTATTTTATCTTAAGACACAGGGGGTTTTTTACGCAGTTTGTTTCATGGATCATCAATCTAGACTTTACTGGCTGTAAGATCTGAGTGTGTATTCCAGTACTGAATGCCTAGTTTGAAGACTTCAGTGTGCTTCTGTTGATAAAGTTTGCTAAAAGTTTTCATCACTTAGCATTGGCTCTTGAAATAATCACTATTTTGATTCTGGTGACAGAAGACCAACTCAAGTTGGTTCAAAAGTTATGTCATACAAAAAAGTGCAAAGAAAGAATATGGAGAGTTAAAGTACTCTGTGTTGTTGTTGTTTAAAGTGCGTAGCAATGAGGAATAGCTCCCCATCGAGGCTGGGGTATTTCTGATGAGATGTATATAGAAAAGGACTTAAATCTCCAGTGACCTTCCTTGCAAAGAGACCAGGAAACATCTGTGCGTGATGTAATGGTTTGTGAACAGGGAATTTATTTCAAGGAGATTATTTTGCCTGACAGTGTCAGAGGAAACAATTTCCACTGTGTAAATTACTAAGACTGATTATTTTGGGAGATGTTATTTGTACATAATCTGCTAAATCAATCTGTCCAAATACGTACTGCAGCTTTCTGGCATCACTGGGGTTTAGTAATATGGCTTCAGACGTGATGGAATTTAATTTATTCCCAGGAAAGTTAGCTGAATACTTCGGAAACAACAAAGATAAAGTACAGTCCCGTGGCTTAATCGCACATTAGTTTGTTGATGTACACAGCAGTAAGATGCCCTGGGCCAAGGCTGCTGTTTGTACTTTAACGTTGTGAATACAGCGTTTAAGAGTACAATGGCCACTGTATTGTTAAATATTGACCTCAGCTGTTAGGAGATAAAATTTTCTGGCAGCTGTTGGCTCACTCTCTGTGTGTGTGTGTGTGTATTAGTTTATTAACCATATCAAGCGGCAGGGCAGAACTCCCTGCTTTTATCTGTATCACAGCCTTGGACTGCCGCCTCATTTTTGTTGCCTAGCGCTATCGCATCCTACTCTTACACTGTCAGGATGCTGATGCCTGTTTCCTAATATTATGCATTATCGTTTTTTTTTCCTTCTCAGACTGTGCTGAGGATGGTGTATGAGGAGAGCCGCAAAATATTGGCTTTGTCAGAAGGTCCCTTTGGTTTTAGGGAGCTGAAAAATGTTCATCAGGCCAGAGCGGCGGTGGAGGGGTGGCAGAAGGAGGGCTTGGCCTTACTGGATGCTATACAGTCGCTGAAAGATTACCTTAGCAAGGTGGCGGATAGAGGAGACAAGGTATGACAATAAAAATATCCTTTAAAGCAAGGTAACCAGGTTTTTATATACATAGAAATGTATATTGTTTGAACAGGCCTCTTCAAACACCTTTGGTCTGCTTAATTAAACAGATAGGTATACTCTTACACAGAAATGATATGAAAGACAGCAGGTTAGAGATTGAAAGAGATGCCATTTTAAAAAGAAAAAAAATTTAACAGGAACATTCGGGTGTTGCTGCTGACTGGAGAGGAGAACTTCTGCAAGCAGTACAGAGCGTGTTTGAGAAGGAGAGAAACATGTTGCAAATGGACTTGAAGTCTTGCTTCTCCAATCCTGGGTCTGGTGATGGAAGTTCCTTAGTGGAAAAACTGGAGTATATCATGAAACGACAAGTAAGAAAACTTCTTAAAGTGTTATGCTCATAGATCACTTCTTCTATTCCCCTGTATGGTTTTTTTTAAGGTTTTTACGGTTTTATTACTTCTGTTGTTAAATCTTATCTTGTGCATTAATCCGGATTGCGTGGGATCAGTAGGCTTTTGTAGCCTATGCTTTGGTACCATTTTTCTCAACCTTTGTGTATTGTATTACAAGGCCTTTTGGTTATTTTAGATGGCATCCAGAAAAAATAGTGACCTGGAGATTGTGGTAGTGAAAAGGATATATTTGATAAAAAGGGAAGGAGGGGAAGAATTCCATCTAGAGCTGCACAGATTTCTCTTGCAAAGGGTATATATTGAGCTAACTCTGAGTCAGGGATTTTTTTGCTGATAACGTTTAGTTTTTAGGTTCAGACCAGATGGTCTGTTGTAACTATGATGTATAAAGTAGTATTGATAACTATTACTCTGTTTGGAATCTAGTGAAGTGGGGTTTTTCTTTTCTGCTTAATGTTAACATGAAGCATGAACTTAGTTATGTGAAGTTGCCTCTGTCTCAAACATGTACTGCAAGGGTTTCTCTAGGGTTTATCTTTATAGAGAATATAGGAATACCCATGTAGATTTAATAGGACTTGGTTTGTTTTCAGGACGAACAGAGGCAGATGGTGGTAGAGCACCTGTTCTCCTCAGACCGGAATAGCTTGCTGGCTGAAATACAGGACCTCCGGGCTCAGCTGCGCCTGACACATCTTCACAACCAGGAGAAGCTGCAGCAGTTGCAGGAAACCCTCATCAGCGCAGAAGATCGCGGGAGCAAACAAGCATACCAGCTTCGGAGGAAAGGTACTAGTCGCCAAGTTCTCGTTATCTGGTCTTCTATGTCAGTTCTTTCCTCTTTAGCCTAGCAGATAAAACGCAAAAGAAATACTGCTCTGCAAAGAAGCTGATGCTGTACAACTCTTCAGTTGTACTAACACACTCGGGTTTCTTACGATTTCAGCAGAGGAAGGAATTCTTCTTTCTCATATTAGTGTGTAAGAAAAATCTGAAAAGCCAAGAGAAGCTTTAAAATAACCCAGAGCACTAGAACTGTTAAACAGTGTATACATGTAGAAAACCCATCAAGGATAATAAAAACCCTTGTTGATTTTCAGGAAATTCTTTATACGTATGTTTGCTTCATGAGGTTTAGAATCCATTAGTAACAGGTTCCTTGGAGCACATCACAGTAGCTCTCATGGTCTCGCCCAGCTTTCGTGTTCTTCCCACTTTGCCTGGTCCACTAGCAGCAGAGCTGTAGCGTGGATGTGCATCTCTGCCAATTGATCTCATGTTTGACAAAAAATGAATGCTCCAGGCAAGAACGCTTTACTACAGCTGATTTAACCCCCCAGTTTGAACCAGTGTAACTGATAACATGGTCAAGTTCTCTGTAATAGAAAATAACTGTTGACGTTTTCTTATCTAGTTGAATTATTAGAATATAAGCTGCAGCAAGAAAAATGTATCTTAAGTGACCTGCAGAGCACCCTGTCTGAGGAGCAGAAGAGAGCCTCTGAAACGTGTCATCTCTTGAATCAAGAAAAAGCAGCCCTGAAATTAGAGCTTTATGAAAGTAAGCAAGAGCACGAAAGGCTGCAGAAATCCATAGAAGATCTTCAGAGGGAAATAAATCAGTTACGGTGAGAAGTAGATTTATTTGTTTATTTTATTTATCAACAGGTCTGAAAGAGCTTTATACTCATTGGATCCACAGATGGCTTAGCACTTAAAAACACAAGGAGGAAACTAACCCCTCTCTCCCTTTTCATGGATATGTTGATTTTTCTTTACTAAATGCTTATATTTATCCTTCAGTTAAAATTTGCATCTTTACCTTTTCTGTCACCCTGACTGAGAAGGTTGTGGAAACAAGTGCATGTTGTATGGGTGTATTGAAAGTGAGCAAACTAGATCCCTGTATCCCTGATGTACTCTGCTTCTGCAGCTTTTCTCTTAGTCTTTTGGTTGGTACCTCCGCTTGCCTGTCATCTTGTGTATGGGTTTTTCTTCCCCCCCTCCTTTACTCCTACTGTATGCCAATGTTTTTCGTTCCTCACACAGGGCAACAGTTTTGCTCTGCCAGGATAGATAACTTCTCCCTATCTCTTAATTGTTACTAGATAGAGGAATTCTAGCTTTGCTTGCAGGGAGGTAAATGTTTTCAGATCTAAGTAGCTGTGACTTGAAAACTGAACCTCTTTAGAAAGAGCAGAGGCCATCCAGAAAAAAACAGATCAATAGACCAACTCACAAAATGCAACCCAAACCATCTTGCTTGTGTGACTGTTGAAAGATCTTCTGTTTTCAACATAGAAGTGTCACTTTGAACTTTGCAGTTTTGAATTGGGAAAAAAAGAAAAGGATTTGGCAGCTGCACTTGAAGACTTGCAGACTGAGCATCTGAAGGAGACAGAGCTACGAGGCTTGTTTGAGGAGCAGCAGCTTCAGCACAAGAAAGCAGAGGATGAAAAGACAAAGGCCTTGGAGGTAATGTCCTACACCTCAGTGCTTCAGTTCACCTCCCTTGGTGCGTGAAGTTAACTAACAGGTTATTTTTGCAGTCTTTTTCATGTCCCATGTTTTGCTTAATAACAGTTTAAAAAACAAAAGCCCAAACTTCTACTGAATGTGCATAGTGTATTTATTTTGTTTTCACAGAATTAAAGCTTTCGGTTACCCTCCTTAATTGCACATGCAGAAATAGGCAGAAGTTGCATACTTCCTCTCCCTCCCTCCACACCCCCAGCCCCCACCCCGCCCTCCACATCTTAGTGTTTTCGGAGCCTTATGCTTTCACATTTTCACCAGTTCTGCAGTGTCCCTTGCTATGCAGGGAGAGCCAGGTTCTACAACTGTGTAACTGCACTTTTTATTCCAGAGCAAATGTGCCGTGAGGATGTGGTCTGTATGATCGACTGAGATTATAAAGAAAACCACCCAATGGTACATCTGCTTGGCAAAGAGTAACTGGAGCCTTTCCAATGTAACATATATTTTTGGAGGTTAACCAAAGTCTTTTTGTTCCCTAAATTGAAAATAAATGAACAGCTTTCTCTCTGGTACTGTGACAGTAATGACTCAGTTCTTGTAAAAGGCCTACAGTGACTGGAAAGGGAAGAGGATTTAACATAAACCTTTTTTTAAACTAAAAGTCTAAAACCAAAGTCTATCAGAGAACTCCAAAATAATCCTAGATAAATGCCCTAAGTGAGAAAACATAATTCTGACTCTGTTTTCTTTGTAGTCTGGCCTCTCACATCATCCTTCTGGTAGATGTTTAGGTTTGTGGGTGACTTCTGTTTGTCGGGATTTTTGCTCGCATGGTAGGACACAGTGCTAACGTCCTTTATCTTGTACAAAAGCTGCTCGTGCAGGGAAGGCCGGGACCGGCTTGGCCAAAGGCAAAGAGCAAAGTGCGTCACCCCAGGCGTAGTTGTGCGACAGACAAAACCGTTCGCAGTTCCCGTCGCTTGGGAAGTGATGCCAGTCTTGCATTCCCAGATCCTCCCTGGAAGCCGTGCTGCGGAGAGCCGGTGCCACTCGGCATCTGACCCGGCTTCCTGCCAGATGAGAAGTGGTGCTGGCTGGGGGCAGAGCAGACCCTCCTGCCAAGGGGTAGCCAGGCCAGCTCTGCCTGTCTGCCAGTGCCCTGGGACTGTCCCTCCTGTCGCGCCCTTTCCCTCTGCAGAAAGGCCGGCTCCAAAGCAGACCCTGGGGTTGGATTGTTTTTATCAGTCTGTACCGCATAGTTTAAACAGATGGAGTGTGAAATGCAGAGGTTTTTACATCCACTCTTACTGCCTAGATTTTTGGTTCTCTTTTAAATCAACATGGGTTATTTCTGCTTCCAGTGTCACTTAAGGGGATTGAATGATATAAAGAATAGTGATTTCCTAATGAGGGTCTTACTAATTGAAATAAAAATAACGTACCGGGAGCTATTTTAACATTACAATCTTTGGTTTTCTTACCTGGTGTCATGTTGCTAATAAGCATGCTTCTGGCACTTGTAATTAGAAAATTGAACTTGTAATTTCAAATTAAATGTTTCAATACCTGAACTACTCTAGTTCAGTCTTGAATTTCTTCCTGGATAAAACAGGAGGATGGAAATTGCAGAATGACAGCCTGCCCCACAGACGAGCGTTTGTGCTGGGCTGTTAATGCGTGCTGCTTCCCCCTTCTGTGCAGGAGCTGCGGGCGGCCTTGGAGCTGCAGTCGGTGCAGAGCAGCCAGCTGGCCATCTCCTTGGAGCACGAGCAAATGGTGAATGATAATCTCCGCAAGGAACTTCAGATCGAGCACTCCCGCTGTGAAGCGCTGCTGTCCCAGGAACAGACCAAACTGTCGGAGCTACAGAGAAATCTGGACGCTGAGAAAAATCGGTCGTTGGAGCTCCTGAATTCCTTGAATCACGAACGCCTTTTGACAGAACAGTTGAGCGTGAGAGTGAAGGAAGGTGCTTCCTGTCAGCACAGGGAGTCGCTGCTGGAACAAGACTTTGTTCGAGAGCTCCAGGCCCAGCTGGAAGAAGAGAGGTCCCGAACGACGGAGCTAGCTGCTGTTATTGAGAAGATGCACCAGAAGGCCATTCATTCCAAAAGGCAGCTAGAGGCCGAAGTGCAGATGTGCTGCGAAGAGACCCAGAAGGAGAGGGAGGTCAGTGACAAACTGCGAGCTACACTGGAATCTCTTCAGCACCAAAAGCAAGAGGTAATCCGTTCCTTAGAGGCCCAGAAGGAAAGAGAGGCGAAGCTGAAAGCTGACTGGGAACAACTGCAGGCGCTCTTCAAGACGATGAAAGAGCAAGATAAAAACAAGAAAGAGGAGAGAGAGCAAAGACAGCAGCCACAAACAGAGCTAGAGAAACAGAAGGACTGGCAGAGAGACCAAGAGAGACTGGTGAGAATTCCTCTGCAAGCCTTGCCTTGTGTTGAAATAGCCACAAACTGGGACTGAACCCTGTGGAAGGTGTTCTTAAATTGAAATTAATTCCTTCCCTTAAAGAAAGCATTCTGAAAAATGCATGAGATGAGCTGTTTCCCTGCATCTCTCAAACGCAGGCGGTTTCAGGGGTTTGTGTCTGCGTTTATTGTTGCCAAAAGTTGATCTGTACATCTTTGCCTATGTTGGGAATTGCTGGTTGTTAACAGGTGGAGAAGAATATGGCTTAAACACAGAATGGAACCAAGCTAGGTTTCATGTCGTTGCCCTTACTTTGAGCTAGGCTCCTAATAACGGTTTGCGACAGTATCGATTTCACCCTTCTTATTTCTTAGCTCCTTCACTTCCATAAGAGGAGGGGGAGGCTTTGTGGGCTCTCTGGAGCCTTGTCAGTCACCATGTCCGGCAATGGATAGAGAAAATGCCCACTCCAGAGCCATTAAGTGGCTTACTGGTGGCCCTGGAAGCAGTAGCGTAAGCCTTCCCCTCTAAGTGGTCTGTGACTTGAACACTGAGATGGGTATGCCAGTTAGGTATGGTTCTTTTATTGGCAGTCTCTGTGTGTTTATAAAAAACCCAAACCAAAAAACACTTCTATGTATATAGACATGTGTATGTGTAAGATGCGATTAACTACTACTTACTCTGTTTAAACAGCAAAACTTGGAACAGCAACACCAGAAGGATGAACAAAGAATTAAAGAGCTGCAGGAAATAGTGGCAGTATTAGAAGAAAGAGAAAGAAATGTCCCATCTCCGAGCCATCAGCAAGGACTGTTGTGCACCTTAAACAAAGATCAAAATGCCAGACAGGCCACGACAAAAGAAACTGAAAGATCACATTTGCAACAGCAGCAGCAACAGCTAGAGAAGATAAGACAGCAGTTGTTTTTTGTAACTGTGCACCTGAACGAGTTCATATATAAAACTGTAGATAAGTGAGTAGTTGTTCATAAAATCGTAGTTTTCTTTCCATCCTGCTTCTGAACTCACGTGGGTCATGGCTGAGAGCCCTGTGCTGAAGGGGGTGAGTGGTATCTCTGCTTACAGGACTCAGCTGTGGGTGAAACCGTGGTTTTGTGGTGGCAGCAGACTCTGGTGGTTGTCATCACGCTGCGGCCGTTCCTGAGAGAAGCTTGCGTGCCTGTGTTAGAACCTGATCCGTGAAGTGGCCCTGCTTAAAAAGCACAGCTCCCCAAAAACCCTACTGGGAAGAGTCATTTGGTAGTTTGGCAGCTGCAGCAGTCTGATTAGAGAGCAATCATAAAACCGGGAATTGGCACACCTGTGGGTTTAGAATGGGAAACTCCATCAGGCACAGCAGGGAAAAGGTGGAGGTCAGGAATGAGTGGCCAAGGAGCAGTAACGTCTTAGTTCTCTGGCAGCAGAGGAAAATACTAGTGATGTCTTGCTGCAGCCTGAATTTGCGGGATAGAATTTCAGACTGGTATAAAATACCAACTTCTGGGTAAAACTTGCATGGCACTATCTAGGAATTCTACTCTTCAATTAAAATTAACAAAACTTGCTAATTCCTGTATGTATTCATGGTATTTTGTGTGATGAATAGTGCATAAGTACAGCCTCAAAACTTAAAGGTCATCCAGTAGAGAGAAGGAATCAAATGTACATTAACAATACCATGAATCAATCTGACACTGAAAAATATTTCTGTTTAACAGAACTGTTAACGATTGGTCTGCATCAAATGATGAAGCTGTTGCCTCTTTACTACAGACATTAAAGGAACTAAAATCGGATTTATTGTCTCCTCCTGCATCTCGGGTAAGGAAAACAGCATATATTTGTTGATTATCAGTAAGTTGTTCTGTATTCTTTGGGTTGCAGTACATGTGTGAGTTGATTGATTTGTTTATTTCCCCCCATCTCCTTCCTTTTTTGGTAAAACATTTTGAGGAAAATTGTGGTTTGTCTCGGGGATGGAAAAAAGATGTTCTCTTGTACTCACTGTCATTATATCGACATATTTTAGGATCAGACTCTTGCTTTTTTGTTCTATTGCAGAGTCTGCTTCTGACAGCACTTTTTTTCCTAGATATGTAATACTCCAAGGATATCAAACCCTGGGATGTGTGGCTGCTGCTTCTGAATACATCCAGACACATTTGTTTGTCAGCAAATTGTCAAGTAATTCTCAAAAAGCGCAGTAGTGATTTGTCATCTCGGGAGGGGCGTTTTGACTGATGTTTGCCATATTGCAAATATCTTATCCAAGCCTAGGGATTATCAAAGACTGAGCTCGGGTCTATTGTTACAAAACAAATCACAAAAACATAGCTTTTTAGATTCCATCTCATTCACTGGATAACTTTGCCCTATCATTTATGTCCTTCTTTCGTAATAGACATCTTCAACCACATTTCAGCCAAAATTTTGGGATTTAGGCTAATGAATGGTTTTGGCTCTGGTTTGATTCAGCCTCTCTCTCTCTTCCCTCACCTGCTTGATAGCAGATCCCCAGAAAACACACCTGGGAGAGAGTTCTGACTGTCTGATACACAAAGAGGCTTTTGTAACTGCTCTTGTCTTTCTGTCGCCTGTGCAACCACTTAGGTGGTTGCCAAGTGGATGATCTCCAGCCTTCAGCAAGGGGAGGTAACCTCTTCCCGAGCAGGTGTTCGTGGAGTTATTTTGGTTAAGCCTTCCTCTCACAAAGCTTTAGAGCCCTCTGCTGTGGACAGAAAGCTCGGAGAGCCTGTGGGGGGAACCAGACAACCTTACGGCTCTGTGTAAATCTGACGTAACAGGACTCCCTCCAGAGCTGAGCTGTTCTTCTGGCCTAGCTCCCTCCAAGTTGTTATTCTACCGGAAAATTAAAAATTAATTTGGGTGGTTTGTTTTTCCTCTGATACCGTTAAGTCTTCTGCCTTGGAAGCTCTGTTGCAAATGCTTCTCACAGCTTCTAGGTTCGCCAGGCTCTCGTCACCATCGATTAGCAGGCGTCTTAACATGAAGCCAGTGAATACCATGCAGAATAGCAGTCCCTCCTCTTGCTGGACCAGACTTTGCAATTGCCTCCTCCAGGGACTATGACTGCGCTAAAATAAAGGGACTCAAGTTTTCTGACTTCAGTTTTGTTTAACAAAAGAAGAGTTTAGTGGAGCACTCTAAAGACAAGTGCCTTTCTGTAGCTGAGAGAGCAAAAACTCTAACTTTGTATCCTCTTTTCTGTGCGCACAAATGTCCCCCTCTGCCCGCTTTTCTTGTTTTTTTTCCCCCCCCCCCCCCCCCCCCCCATCACCTTTTGTTTCAGGCTCCTCCCTATATTTCTCCTCCCTTTAAGGGACTGAGCCAAATGCTCTGGAGACCAAAGGGATGTGCTGCTGTTACCTCTCTCAGCTGCAATAAATTGGGGACTGTTAGACAGGGAAAGTGTCAAAATGCCCACATGGAAAGTCTGTACTAAAATGAATATGGAGTCAACTGGTGAATCAAATGCCAACTGATGCAGTAGTAATCAAGTGGGTAGATGGATCATGTAGAACTCCTCAGATACTACAAGTATCTGTTACTGCCTTCAAACTGAGCTTTTGTAGGTCTGTAAAATGTCTGGGATGGTGGGACCGTAGTCCTTATGGCAATGCTTGCTGAGGAGGCCAATAGAAGGAAGCTTTCCTCCACTTTAGTACAATACAGATGGGTTTTGTTTGCCATGTTTGAAGGGTTTTTAATAATATTTCTGAAGTGTGTTTTGTATCTGAAGTCCTTGTCTCTGCCTTTGCTCTCACAATGCTCTCCTGTCCCATCCCCGTGTGTGATGTGGCATAACTGCCATGCCAGTGAAAGCTGTAGGCAGGGAAACGCGTGCTTCAGTTTGTCTAACTTCAGTCTAAAAACTTCAAATTGTATAGAACATCTGCGAATGAGAGAACCAGTACAGGACAAGAGTTTAACTTGGACAGAAATCAATACCTAATTTCAAAACAATACTGAAGGTAGTGTTAGATTCTTGAAGCATTTTTTTAACTTGTTTTAAATATGCCGAAAACTGGAGAGCCTTTGCGTTCTGGAAGTTTAAAGAAGTCGTAAAGTCAAAAGGGAGGGGGGTGGATTATATGCCGTGAAGGTACAGATAGCATTGGAAACCCCATTTGTTGCTCTATATATTGCAGGCAGTAGAAAGACTTAGGTGGCTGTGGTTTATTAAACTTTATAAGATTTTTTGCTTGATAAGTTGTACTCTTCACAGAAGACAAATGTAAATGGCACGTGTTAGTGTAATAAGGTATTCAGAAGAAATTAGTACTGAAAAAGTTCCAAGTCCTAATAAGGTTGTACTAAAGTTGGTAGGAGAAATTGGAGTCCGTTGTGTGTGCTGGCTCCTCTAACGTGCAGATGTTATTTCAAGGGATAAAACATTAACTGCCTCAAAAAATGTCTTTTGTTTCTCTGGTCGTCTGCATCACGCACCTGTGCAACTGTTGGCCGTTAAATTGATAGTTGATGCGAAGAGGGTTATGAAGGCAGAACTTCCAATGTCCAATTCTTTGTGGAGCTGTGGGTCTTGTTCCTACAAGAGATGACTTCCCACCAAACCCTTTCTCCGAACTGAATGTGATTTTTCAGAATTTACTTCTGTACATGCTTCACGTGTTTTTGTGCACGCATGTACACAGACATCTTTCCTCACAGTTTCTGTGCTGCCTGTGGATGTGGAAGAAAGCCCGATGATTTTTTTTTTCATTTCCAGGTGTTTGGGGGACTCTCTGTTACTAAAAGGAATAGGATTCCTGTAAAGCTGATCAGACAGATCTGTAGTGAACAGGTAGCTTGATGAACAACTAATTTGATACTTCTTAAGAAGGCCTGCTTCTGTGTTTCAGGTTTCCCATCCTCCCATTTAACCCCTGAATGCCACTGTTAATTTTCAGACTCATTATTTTTATGTTTTAGTTTGTCCCTAAAGTTAGGTGATTAGTCAGGTTGAGGTGTTTGGCCGTGGCATTAATGTGCAAAAACCATCATGGCTCACTTCCTTGGGGTTTCTTTTTTAGGTCAGATTTACGGATGCCCCTGACTCTGTTCAAGAACTGGAAAGAGACGCTTGGCAGCGAGAGAGAAAGGTTTTGCAGAATGCACTGCAACAGGCTGAATCCGAACTGGCTAAAGCGACTGTTGCAGTTGAAAACAAACCAGTGGTGGAAGCTTCCAGTCCTAAGGTAAAACAGTGGTGATGGCCGGAAAACGGGCTGCCTGGAGCTTGGTGAGCGAGCGATGCCATAGCCATTAGCATGTCACTCAAACCTTCGGCACTTGGTTTGCTTTCGCCATCTTGCCTGTTGTACAGATTTGCTGCGCGAGAACTGTTACCAGCTCAAGATCGAAGTATTGGTAGTGTTGTTCTTGGGCATTGCCCCAGGGATTAATGTCACATGTAGGACAGGTGATTTAGTAATTCTACTTTTTTTTTAAATAAATATGATAAAACCTGCTGTGGTAGAGGAGCCAGGAAGTGTACAGTTCAGATTGCTGGGGATATAAGTGGCATTTAACTTTCTCTTATTGCTGTAGTACTTTTCCAATTGCTATTTTAAAAGGTGATTTCATAGATTAACAGTTTTATAAACTGCATATTAAATTAGGAACACTTTCCCCATGTGTCCCTCATGAGAAAAGTTCCCTTGTAACTTTCTTGGTGCTAGACAGGAACTGACACCAAAAGTCACCCAGCTCTTTGGCATCTCTTTCTACTCTTAAACGAGAAGGAGATTCCGATTTCTTCTTTAAGCATGAAAACATCAAACATCCTTTATTTTTAATTTTGCCCCCCTAATCTTAAATACTTTTTAGTCCTCCGACACATTTGATTGTAAACAAGGCAGATGGCCACTGACCCCAGCATGCTTTCTGGTTAATATTTATTTAAAGAGGATGTCATTTTCCTTGTTAAAGAGTAACAAAGTTTCAGAGTATGACAGTTTTGCTTTGAAACATTCAGTAGATTTAACTAGCAGTCTGAGGCTCCAAACTTGGATGCTTTTTAGCTAGGTACAGAATTGTTCCAGCTGCCCTTGTGTCTGCAGTCCGGACGTTCGACATGAAGCCAGCTGGTTTGTGGCTGGCTTTTTGCACGCCAACCGGTAACCGTGCCAGAATTTTCTAGCCTAGCCAAGGCTTCACAGACACACAGAACTTCAGCAGACTTGGTACAAGCCTCCATGTGTGGTGTCCAAACTGCCAGAGCGTAACACTGCTGCTTTGCACCAAAACTGGCCAAGTTAGAGTCTGTTATACAAATACTTGCTCAAAATTTCATTTTAGAGGTAAACGTACACTGCTTCCATACATCTTACTTATTAAGCAGCTTTCTACAATTTTGTGAAGCAAAATAGGTTTTACATACCCACACACAACCAAACTGTGGGAGATACTGCTGGAAAAAGCGACCAACTTTTCTGAGTGGTCTATAGCTAAATCTTAACAGATTGAATTTTTTTCCTTTTTTTCTTCATCCAGTTGCAGAGATTATATAGGAAGTACCTTAGAGCAGAGAGCTTTCGAAAGGCTCTGGTTTATCAGAAGAAATACCTCTTGCTGCTCCTTGGTGGGTTTCAGGACTGTGAGCAAGCGACCCTCTCTCTGATAGCGCGTATGGGAATCTACCCCTCGCCTGCAGATCTGCAGCTTGCTGGATCACGCTCCCGTGCTTTCACCAAGTTCAGATGTGCAGTCAGGGCCATCATCGCAGTATCAAGGTAAAGCCTAAACACTCGCTGTCCCTCACATGTGGCGTTTTCTTGGAAATTTTAAGAATGGATAGTTCCTGTGGTTTATCCTACATTAGCATTAAGCAAAAGCTATCTCCAAAACTAGTTGCAACGTGACTTGCTAGCTGTACCTGTGGCCAAACTGCTGTTTCAGAGTCAGCGCTGAGCTGGATGCGTACTAAGCTGAAGATCTGTGAAAAGCTGCTTCTGTCGTGAGAGACACCCAGCTGCAGTGCATGTGAGAATCCGTGCAAACCGTTGCAAACTGGTGTCCTTGCAGGTCTGGCCTGTGCCTGTTTGGACTCGCTGAGTAGTCTGTCTTGTATCAGAATGTGATCCTCCCATCACTGATGGTTTTCCTCTTAAACCCAGTAGTCTGTGTTTCACTGAGTGTGATTCCGTCATGCTCTGTCACTTACTATCAAATGGATTTTGCTAGCTGTACTGGGGACAGTGTTCCATCTCAGTGGTTTTTCAGTCCATTTAATGAAAAAAATGGTTTTAAGTGTAATAGGTGGTTACTTCTGAGCAATTTCCTTCTCTAGTAAAAATGATTGCTAGAAAATTTAAGGCTTTGAGGAGATGGCACAGAATGTCTTTAGGCTGTGGCCTTTGATGTGGATGCTATAATGATAGCAATATTGAAGGATGGAGGAACAGTGACCTCCAAGCTCCTCCTCTGAGGCAGGAGGAGCTGCCACAGAACTCTCCACAGATTGGGGCTGGAGGAGCAGCGCCAAAACGAGCAAACCTTGCCAACAGTTAGAAGACCGTTGCAGAGCAGAATGGGTTAAGCCTTCATTCAGGAGGCTGAAGCTGAAGAATTCTTCTGCCATTCCTGCAAGGATTGTTGCTTATGTTGTTAAATAAGTTTTATGCCGACAAAGAGTTTAATATTACTTCAGTATATTTTTGCTTATTTTAATGACTGTACAAATTTATTTTGTTGCTAAGGTTGAAGTTTTTGGTGAAAAAGTGGAACAAAGTTAGCAGGAAGAGCACACAGGGTGAAACCATTTCTCACAGTATAGGAGGTAATACAGGTAAGCATTTGGACAGGTGCATTGTTTTAATCCTAATTTCTCTTTACTGATATTTCATTTAAAAATGAAAAAATACCCACAGAAGTGGCAAAATCTGTTTATCTGTTAACACAAATGTGTTTAGCCATTTCCTGAATGCGATGATTATGAGTTTAAAAGGACATTGCAGGAAATCACAATTGAAAACTTTCAGAATTTATAATTTGCAACAATGGCAAGCTCCTCCTCTTATCCCTTTATTGCAACCGCTCAAGATGTGAAACTGAGTCCTGTGTTCATAAAACTCATCAGGGAATCATGTTTTGTACAGTTTGAAACTACCTGTAATGGAAATTAATGCCACTAAGTTGTCAATGCAGTCAAGTTATCAATAAGGCAAGGACAAACACTGCTTTAATAGTATTAAATGGGTACATGCGGTATCAAAAGAAGTCTTGGAAGTGGTGTGCTTGCTGGTGTTACCAGAGGTCAAAAAGGGTTGTAAGTGGCTCCAGAGGTTCAGAAGAGGCTTAACCTGATGGCAGATACCCCATAACTATTTTCTCTGGGGTTTGTTAGGTGCTGTCAGAGATGACGAAGTGGGGTGGATGGGTAGATGGTCTGATGCAGTTTGAGGACTGTGTTCGCTTGGGTTACTTAGGGAGGTGCGTGCAAGAATTTGAACAAAGATCTGAATGCAGTACCCAGTATGGTGGAACTGTCCCATCTGATGTAATGCTCTGTTACTTAAGGCTTTTCAACACTAAACAAAATTCAGATGAAATAGTGCATTTTTCATTACCTGCCATGACATAATTTTCACTGTTCTAAGTTTCTGGAAAAAAACAAACCAAAAAAACAACCCACATTCAAAACACCAACTTGCTACATAAAACCACGGTGGTGTGGTTCCTATGAAACTTGAATCCTGAAATGCATGCTGAACTTTCTACCCCACTACAAAATAGCATCTTGGCAGCCTCGTTGAAAAATGTTTGATTTCTTTTTGTGTTTTGAAGGACTTACCAGAAGGGGTTTTTCTTTTTTAATGGAAACAAAACAACACACCACTCCAAACCTTCATCAGAGCAAAAAAAAAAAAAAATTGCTTCCTTTCTGTGCTGTCTCTAAAGTCAGAGAGTGTAAGTCAATAGTAACATACAGTTAGAGCAAACAACAAGAATGAAAATTTCTTGAAAAATTACTATGCTCATATCAGCCATGGGAACATCCCTTGTGAGGATACAGCAACAGCTGATAGAAAAAGCAAGTCTGGAGAAAGAAAACCGTGCAAGTTCTCCATTTGCAGGAGGACATTAAAATGTCAAACTGCCATTAAATCTGGTTAAAACAAACAAAGAAAACCAAACCAGAAAAGCAGATAGCTGAAGAAAGTGTATTTTAGCTGCATTTAAAACCAAACACAGTTGTACTCTGCTGTAATTCTTGTGGGTTTTATTGGTTATGTTTATGATAGCCTGTTTTGAATGGTTTCTGGTGCGTATTTTTTTAACTGTTTCCTATTTAACACAGCCTCTGGTACTAGAACAGAAGTTCTGAAAGAGCAGTGGCCGGCAGCCGTTCATCTCTGCTCTCCCCCGACCCGGGACACTGGGTTCTGCTGCAGAACGAGCTCGGCAAGATTTGTGAGCCGCTCCCCCAGGTCCTCGTACTGCGTGTGGGACAGGTCAGTCTGCAGCCTCTGCCTACATTCATCACCCCGATGGACAGTCTTTTATAAAAATGGAACTGCTTATTGGAGGAGGTACTTGAACAAGAAGAGGAATTTGTTTCCCGGGGTCTGATAAATGTTCTCTTTCTTTCAAGATGCTACAAGAGAAGAAAACCTCTCATTTGCTTTAATCATGTCTGATGTTCTTGGGCTGAGAACTTTCCTAGTGGTGTTCCCCAGTTTCGTTTGGACAGGCTACAGGATTTACAGGGGCTGTGTGCGTTCTCTGAGGGGTAATTCTTGTTGCATCCTGTCCTTAATTTCTGAGCATCCTGTGGAAGCAGCCCCCCTGCCATACGACAGCGCTGCGTTAGTAATAGCTGCCTTCAGACTCTGTGCGCGCAGACAGAACGGGCGGTGGAGAACTTGCGGGGTGGGTGCTGTTGCGGTTTTCCATGACTTGTGGCCAGTTCTGCACAGAAATACAGCCCCAACTGCTTGTTGCTGGGTTGGATGTCACAGGTGACATCCCGCACGGTCCTGCGAAGACAGCGCCTGAGCTGCAAGCTCTGTGCTTGGGTTGGAGGAAGGTGGCCTTCAGCCATTACTGACCCTCCCACTCCCAGGTTCTCCTGGGACTCAGAGCAACCTTGGGCATCGCATAGCCCACTACTGGGTGTAGCATCTCCTCTCCCAAGCTGCTCATCCTATCACAGAATCATAGAACGGTTCGGGTTGGGTGCGACATTTAGAGGTTGTCTAGTCCAACCCCCCTGCAATGAGCAGGGACATCTTCAGCCAGATCAGGCTGCTCGGAGCCCGTCCAACCTGGCCTTGAACGTTTCTAGGGATGGTTCTATGTGGTTTCCTCCTTAAAGTAAGGATTTGCAGCAGTGGATGTGGAAGGCAGCTGTTCTCAGTCCCATCAGCTCGGGACGTGTCATTTGTTTCTTATCCTCCTTGCTAAACTAGAAACTTCAATTAGCAGGCAAGAATTTTCTCCATAAAGGAAAAAAAGGGGACCAAGGAGGTAGCTGTGGTGATCTAGAGGTACGCGACGAGAGCAGATGCTCCAAATTATTTTACGTTTTTTAACATTGCTGACCGATCTAGGGGACAGGACAGTGCTGGTCACGAAGGACGGGTGGTGTTTTGTTTTGCATAGAACTTAGCAAAACATTTTTGGGAGTTAGAGACCTGCAAGCATTTCCCGAAATGCTTAATTCTACCCCACCCCGTTCCCCGTTCCTCACGGCACGTATCTGGGTCTGGCAGCCAGAAACAGTCGCTGGCAGCTTACCTGTCAAGAAGTGCCATCTGTACTGTAGGGAACAAGGGTAGCGATAATGGTAGGCCCTGACAGATTGCTCTGTGTGAGTGGGTTGGTGGTCGCTCAAGTCTCACGTGGAGAAGTTAAACGATGCCTCTTGCTGCTTTTGTTTCCTGGCGAAGTTGCACAGAAGGAGGGGATGGATAGGAACTACCTTCTGCTGATCAAAAGGGGGAAGGGATAAATCCAAACTCCAGATATGTTTGCACAGTGTGCCCTCCAATGTACGTTTCTGCTAATATTTGAAATTTGTTGGAAATGCAGCATACCATCTCAAGGGTCCCCTTGTTTAACAGTGTCCTTCAAGATGGCGTTTTGCCCGCTGAACGGGAGACTACACGCCTGGACGCAGCATGCTGCTCTTCCGTCCTTCTCCCCAGCAGTGGGTCTGTTCTCACATGGCCACTGGGACTGGCCTCTGGCTGCAGCTTTCTTACATGAGGGACTTTGTCTGGCGTATCAGTAGAGAGACATTCATAGATACTACAGCTTCTGTCAAAACATCCTTTCTTTTGACTCTCCTGTATACAAAGCTGCCCAGTCTATATTGTTTTATATGTAATTTTTTGGTGGTGGTGGTATTTACTGTTGTTCTAATTTGCTTCACACCAAATTACTGCCCATATGTATATACTTATTTGAGAGTATAGCATGGGAAGAAGAAAATAATTTGTTTTCCTTTTAAGATCGCATCCATCCACAAGTCCAGCTTCAGAGAAGTCCCTTGCGCCTAGCCAGGATCCCGAACGCTCCCTGACGGAATACATCCATCGCCTAGAGGTCATCCAGCAAAGACTAGGGGGTGCGCAGCCAGGTAAGAACCCTTTGCAGCTGCCAGCAGCCTGGGCTGCCTTTGGCAAAGTTCTTTCTACTCATTGCCTATGACCCTTAAAACGTATAAAGATCGTCGTTATTGGGCAGGAAGGAGAAAAAGATTGAGTGAGTCTCTGAAATGAAACCTTTTTGTGAATCCTACCTGAAGCTAGTTCAAGTATGGCATTTCACAGAATCACAGAATGTTCGGGGCTGGAAGGGACCTCTGTGGGTCACCCAGTCCCCCCCCCCTGCCACAGCAGGGTCACCTACAGCAGGCTGCACAGGACCTAGTCCAGGTGGGTCTTGAATATCTCCAGAGAAGGAGACTCCACAACCTCCCTGGGCAGTCTGTTCCAGTGCTCTGTCACCCTCAGAGGGAAGAAGTTCTTCCTCATGTTCAGACAGAACTTCCTGGGCTTCAGTTTGTGCCCATTGCCCCTTGTCCTGTTGCTGGGCACCACTGAAAAGAGCTTGGCCCCATCCTCCTGACACCCACCCTTGAGATATTTGTAAGTATATATTAGGTCCCCTCGCAGCCTTCTCTTCTCCAGGCTGAACAAGCCCAGCTCCCTCAGCCTCTCCTCTTAGCAGAGATGTTCCAGTCCCCTCACCATCCTCATAGCCCTCCGCTGGACTCTCTCCAGTAGCTCCTCATCTTTCTTGAACTGGGGAGCTCAGAACTGGACACAGTACTCCAGATGGGGCCTCACTAGGGCAGAGCAGAGGGGAAGGAGAACCTCCCTCGACCTGCTGGCCACACTCTTCTTGATGCACCCCAGGATGCCATTTGCCTTCTTGGCAGCCAGGGCACACTGCTGGCTCATGGTCAACCTGTCATCCACCAGGACACCCAGGTCCCTCTCCACAGAGCTTATTATTATTTCTCAAAATAAGTTCAAAGGGAAACTCTTCAGAGATAAGGCTGAATAACTTCATGTGATTTCCATCCCCCCTCTTGTTATCGGGTCTAAATAAGCAAGCATTGCTGTTTATATGAAGTTGTGTATAGAGTTAATATGCTTTAAAGTCAAAGGGAACCATTGTAATAGCTGAACAGGGCTTTCTCTGCAGCACAAATTGTAATACTTCCCTCGTTTATTGCCTCCTTATATTCCATAGCAGATTTTTTAAAAAATTTGGAGGCTGGTAAAAACAGCCATCTAGTTCTAAGATCAATTGAAAAGCACACATGAGATTGTAGTGGCACTTATCTTTGCTATTTAAAAAACTTCTACCTAATTTCTAGACTAAATTTACTTAGTTTGATCTTCTAATTACTCGCTCTTCTTGCATCTGCGTTACATCACAGAAATTCCTTGTCCCAAGGAAGAAGTTACAAACTGTCATCACATCATCCTCAAATCATTTCCTGTCAAGATATGATTAGATGTGTCTTCCAATGTTTTGTTATTTTTGAGACTTGTGTCTAAACCTTCTCCAGCGTATCAGTATCTCTGGATTGTCAACAACAGAGCTGGACCTCCGGCTGCAGTGTCATTTTTGCTAGACAAACACAAAGATAACTTGTTCCTTGTTTATCCATGTAACCATTGTGTTGCAGGGGCAGCCTCCTGCCGCCTGCCTTCCCCACCGCACGGCAGCGATGTAAATTTAACAGCAACGCTGTGTTTACAATATCCACGCACACAGAGCGTGCTCATGCAGCCCGTGCCATGGCCACGTGCTCCTGCACACCGGTCCTGGCAGGTGACTGGGCGAGGATGCCGGCGTTAGCTCAAATTGCTGATAGGGATGGGTTCATGATGGTCATGGTCCACGTTGGGGTACAATGCAGAGCTTCATCCCAGGGAGAAGCACAAAGCTGCAATGCTGCCTCCTGTGGGGAGGCTCCCGAGGAGCCTGCTGAGAGCTGTTCCTCCAAGGCATTTGGAGCATCCTCCCCACAGCTTGCTTCTCCTGTCCAGGTTTATGGGGCTTGTTTCCTGGTCTGAGCTAATACGGGCCACCCGGCCAGATAATGCCATGGGTGTTTTCATCCAACCTTTACCCCTTTCATCTGCTATTGCTGATTCCTCCCCCATGTTACTTCTGGCTGCTCATCCCCACAATCAGTTTACTTCATTGTGCTACTTTTGGGTCACTCTGGTCCTTGATCTCTAGGCAAGCACTGATTACTTCCTTCCACCAACCGCCACCCTTGGCTCCCCTTAACTTCAGCCAAAATCTGGAGAGATGACCAGGTAGATATTTGGCTGTGGCACTGTGGGGGGGCCGTGTGGATTCCTTAACTGTTGTCAACTGCTGTTTCCCAGGCAGACTTGCCTCCTGCAATTGTCCTTCAGCCTTTGCCCAGAGATATGTGCCTTGATATCAGTTGTCCCAAGATAAGAAAAATACTTGACCATATCGGGAAAATCCCTGCCCGCCACCAGTGCTGTTACTGCTGGTCCCTCCTCTGGTCTTTATCATCAGCAGATCATCTCTGTGGTGGTTTTTATGGGAGAAGGGGTGGGGACTCAATCACTGGTCGCAGCATTCAGTAGCGGCTCGTGGCCCTGCAGTCATTGCAGGTGCTCATTTGAGTGACATCTGCTGCGCTGGCTCCTCGGCAGTACCAGGTTTGAACATCTAGTCTGCGTTCGAGAGGTGCTGTACTGTCCTTGTTCAGTTTCCCCACAATTTATAAAAGACATTATTTGTGACTACTGACTTAACTGCTTTTGGAAAGGTAATGATTCTAAGTTAACCTCCGAGGCAAATTTTTTATGGTTACTTGTTGAATTCCTAACAAAATTTAGTGTTAACTTTGAAAAATTAAACTCTAAAATTACGTGTTTCTCTGGAAAGAGAGGAATCTCAGCTTTGTCAGCATTCACAGGAGTCTGGTGTAGCTGGACAACAGATCTGGGGAAAGTCTAAAACATTGTTTGTTTTTCTGGTGCTTTGAGTTGATCTAATGGGGAAAAAAAACCAACAAACAAGATAAAGTTTAAGAAAACAAACAAACAAAAAAGGCTGGCTTTGCTTACAAATCCTAGTCTTGCTCCTGTCACTGAGGTCAACAGCTACAGTGACACTTCCATATGGGAACTTTGACATTGTTCTCAGCAGGATTTTACCAAGAAACCTTAATACCATGACTTTGTTGGGTTTGGGGGGTTTCTTCCCCCAGATACTGCAATTGTTTATGGCAGATAGATAAACAAATTTTAGAATTGAAACCCGACGGCATTTCATAGAAATAAGGTATTTTGCTTTATGCTAAGTGTGGAGTAAGTATTCCACAACTGGGACACCATTAATAGCAATTTTGTGAAAAGCGTGTATCATTTTATTTTTTTTAATTTTCATGTTACCAGAACGATGATGTCAGGAATTACAGAATGATGTTGCAGCCTTTAGAACGGTGCAGTGAGCAAAATGATTTCCCGGTTTCTAATGAACTTCAAAACATCTACTGGGTGACAAGACCTCGTCCGGCAGCAGAATGCGTGTTGAATAATCTCAAGGGCAGCAGAGCTGGTGTGAGCAACCCTGCTGCTGTGTGTAGCGCAGGCCTGCGACTGAGCGCTGGTCTTGACGTGTGAAGGTTTGCTTTGGCAGACGTGCGAGCTCTTGCATCTTGTTTTGTATTGTTCCTAGGTGGCTCATGAAAATGGTAATTGCTTTCAGCGTAGCTCATGTGAAGCACACAGAGGAAATTACATACTGCTAACTGCACCCTGTTGCTTCATAACACAAGCGGTTTTCTAATGTTCATTTGTTTTATTTAAATTTAGGACAAGTTCCAGGCGCACCTCGCCAGCGAAACATGAAAAAGTGATGAGAACGCTGCTGAAGTCTGTACTGCGACCCCCCGAGCGGTTGCTTCCTTCTGAGTTGGTCCATGCTGAATGCAGGCACTCACGGTCTCTTGTGCAACTGAATAAAGGGCAGTGCTTTTGCCTCAGATTTTTATATGACCCTTTTTATTATATTTTAGTACTTTAAGAGGAAATTGCTTTTCACTAAGAACAACGTTTTACATTCTCATGTGAAATTACAGCAAAGTTAACAGCTGAAGTGTGCCTGCATCGCTGTATTGGAAGTTGCAAAGAGTCTCTTTGGTGTTTATTTTTCTATAGTGTATAGCTGGATTCCTTGTAAAAAAAAAAGTTATTAAAATGGCATTTTATTAGTGAATGCTTACGTTGTGTCATTATTTGTTTCCATCTTACCTATTTACTTTTTTGCTATTCCTAAAATTGTTTGGGTTTTAATATTTCTCCAGGCTCATTCTAACAGAACAGCCGAAATACTCTCCCAAATATCAAAGATAACTGTAGCCTTCTGTGAATTTAGGGTTTGCTCTTCTGGTTTTACAATAAATAAGTCCTCCCTCCCTCAGTCTTTCTCATCACATTCCAATTCAACGTCAAGCCACCACTCCTTCAGCTCCTCTGTGACTGAGCGATGCATGTGTAATAGATTTGTTCTGACTGAATTCATGCAATATCATTAATGTGTTTTCCTCCAGTGTGACCTTCACCTATCGGACTGATCTTTCCAGCCACGACCTTGACTCAGCGTCAGAGCTGTCCTTCCAGTTCCCTTTAGTGTTCCCTCTGGGGAGAGGGAAGAGCAGAGCTTTGGGGGCGAAACTGCCTCGGTGTTCGATATTTCCATACAGTGCAGGATGCCTGCCCTTACTGCGCTGCAGGTTTGTCCTGTTTGGTCTGTCCCCTCCACCCTGCTCCGAGTGACAGCTTGGGCAGGCAGCTTCTCTCGCTGCCCCGTCACAACCAGCTGCTCGTGTGCTGGGTTGTGTTTGCTGATGATTCGAATAGAGGTAACGGGTGCTAGTCCACAAAAGAGCCAACCCATGCTGGAGCTAGTGAGATGGAGAAGAGCCCTGGGAGACTGACAAGTAGTTTGGAAACAGCTGAACTCAGCTGGCTGCACCCTCGCCTCTCCCTCAACTTACCAGAGACTCTGAGAGAGCAGTCTGCAAAGGAGCTGCTTCTCTGCTGACACTTGGCAAACTGTGCTACAGAAATGCTTACATGTTTAGGAACTTAAAAAAAAAAAAAAAGAAATTCTTTCCAAAAGAGATTTGGATTAAACTAGTGTTTATAAATGGGAAAATAAACAGACTCAATGGAGGAAAGTAGAAATGAAGTTGTCTAAAGTGCAAATAGATGGGATAGAAGAGAAGTAAAGCTTACAAGCGCCAAATTAGAAGTTTTTAATGGAGTTCTTGGACTGCTGGTAGTTATTTGTCCTACTTAGTCTGGATCCTTTTAGCTTCATTTTCCTAATTCAAAAGGCCATAACTTTTGTTTAACGCTATGCATTTTTGGCAAAAAAACCCAAAGAAAGCCCTTAAACTCTATCAGTCCCTAATGTAAGTAGGACTCCTGATGGGCAAATCCTAGCTCTGCCCAGTACCTTGTGCTGTAGGTACCTTTCAGGGAGACATTTCCAAATGTCTGTTAAGTTGCTGGTCAGAGAAGAGAAAATAGGAGGTGTTCTGATGGTACACCCGCTTCCAGTCACAGTGTCTCAAGTGCAAAAATGAGTGATTCCAAATATCATGCTGAGTAAGACTTCTTTCTGTGATACTTACCTGTGGTATTTCTTGTCGTGGTATTTCACAGAAGCCATGTTTCTTAGGCTTACCTAAGATTCACTCTTCTCTCTCTTTTTCTTTAGGAAAAGTACAGGCAGAATTGTAATGCCAGAAGTATTTTAAGGCTCTGGTAATGCGAAATCTCTGCCTTGATGCTTAACTTTGGGGTATCAGAAAAATCTCAAAACACAAAAGCCCTAGGAACAAACACTATTTTCCCTTGCTGCTCTGTGCCAGATGCCAACACAGCGGGATAGTGGGTAATGTAGGTGTTCCTATGCACAGTCTACTTCATCCTTCTCAGAAATGAGGACTGTGAATGAAGTAAGGCTGGCTGTTAGCAGTTCACCTCTAAGCGAAGAGGGCTATCTGTAACGTGATGTATTTGCTGCCGAGGCTTCCCTAGACACGCTCCCCTGCCATCACCTGTGCAACCCAAGCGCTCGCCCCCCTCTCCCCCTGCCTCTGCCCAAGCCTCTGCAGGGCTTGCATCCAGCTCTGCATTCCGGTGGAGCCTTTCCACGACAGTCTGTATGCCTCCCCTCTTCAGAGAGACCTCTTACCCCACAGGCACTGCAGCAGCCCCTCTGACACTGTCTCCCTGGGCATTCACTGTTTCCAGAAACACAGGCAGGAAGTAGGGGGCAAGAGGCAGATGCTGCAGAGAAGAAACCAAGCCCGTCGGTCTTCCAGGATCTGTGAGCCATACTTAACACGTCATCTGCAGCCACGCTCCCATCAGCTCCCTGGATCCCAAAGGGTTTTCTGAAGAGCAGTGGAACTACCATGGCAGAAATGTTTCTACCCAGTGTGGGGTGGTACAGCCAAGTTTTGAAGAGCCCGGCTTTCCAGTTACTGGTGTGGTGCCTGTGTGCCCTCTGAAGGGCATTTATACAGGACACGCTCTCTTGTGACGTGTTGACCTTGGTAGTATGAGCAGAGAAATCAGAGGCTGAGGCATTTCAGGATGGAGTAGGGAAA